ACAAAATTTTAAGGAATTTTTTTCTTCTTTGATTCTTGTTTACTCAAAACAATGTTGCTGATAAAAGTGTATGCTTGAGTTTCACAAAAGATATATAGTCGTTTTGCTTGTTGATTGCAACACCAACTAGCCACTTTGTCAATCAAATGAGTTTAAAGTCTACCCGTGAATCATATGCTGAGGTAATAAGTACAAAAAGAATGCTTACTTTATCCATCATCGATCCCTAATTAAACCATATTACGTGAAGGTCAGAGGAATATTAACTTTTCATGGATTAATTATCTCTAAAATCAAACAAGCCTCTGGATATGCATGCAAAGATTCCCCCATAGATTATTAATACTAAGCGTTATAATTAGTTTAAGCAAAGCTAGGCAATGTATGTGTATTCGCTAGAGTCATGACCCCACGAGGGTGAAGGCTAGCTTGGAGGATTTCATGAGTGGTTAGACAATTACAAAATGGTTGAGATAATTTAATTGTAGAATTAGATGTATATGCTTTGTCCAAGAGAATACGACATCGCTCTGATGCTACTTAACGATAACAAAAAGAGTACTTAAACCATGATCACCTGATTCACAATATATATCCTCTGCTATTGACCCATAACATATATATATATATACACACACGCAAAGTTTAATTTCTTGTATATAATCCGAACATATATACATACATATATATATATAGCTAACGTGTCGATTATATCGATACATTTTTGTCAACACATATACAATATCGATACGCATATTAACAGTCTGGTTTTTAATTAAAGACCGGATTTCCCAGAGGATTTCAATTAATTGGCAAATGGTGAAGATAGCTATAGAAAAAATGATGGGTACGTATAAGCCTGCTAGCATGATGCAGGGACAGCTAAGACCAACGCTTCTTGTTGTAATATCAATTCTTCCTTTATGTCATTTTCTTGAAGTACATGGAATAGACAAGCTTTACTTTTGTCTGATTTTGTTCTAATTCAAAGATACATAAACCTAGTCAACGAGGGTTGGTTGAATTGGTAAGAATCGTTCTTTTTGCTATTCATGCTTAGGTTCAAATCTAATTGCTGAGAATCCCTATTGATAGATAATCTGTAAAAACAAAAAAAAAAGCTAAGACCCCCTGTGTAAGTCCTTAAAGAGACTTTGATATGCCCTTGCCCTAAGATAGGGTAGCCTCCCATCCCCCTAAATGTTTCTTCATAAAATAAAAATAAAAATTGTACATGAACCCCAAATCAATTGCCATTCAAGTAGATAATTATATCTTCTCATCACATGCATGGCAAATGTAATGAGATGACAAGTACAACAGCTAGCCCAACTTGTGAGGCTTGCCTCCGCCATCTGTGATTATGGAGCCGATGGACCAAAAGCATGATCTGTGGTCTTTGGGAAAGAGCTAACCAGAGCACCTTCACCAACCTCAACTTTGCCCATTTTCTTCTTTTTCCTTATTAGTTAAAATACTTCCTCGTATTTTATATTTTCTTACGTATAAAGATTTGGTCAGTTGGAGCACAATAATTCTTGGTTTGGATGGAATTGGTCCTAAAACTTAGAGTTTATTCGGATTTGGGTCACTCGAACCCAATATGTACTTGTTTACTCAGTCGTAATTGGGCTAGATTTTGTTGACCCAAACTCCATATGCAGTACAACTTATTTTTTGGGCCCAAGTGCAACCCAACTAATTGCCTACTTCTTTCAGGCTTTTTCTATTTTCTATCTCAGAAAAGAAAAAAAGAGGAGAAATAAAAAAGACAAAAAAAGTACAATAATTATCTTTAAAAATTTAATGCAAATCAAATGCTTGTACATTGAGATTTTACGAAAGTCAATGTTATTTTTTTCAATAAATAAATAAAAATAAAGCAGCAATATCATTCTCAAGCTCTACATGCTGGCATGTCTTCTCCATTTGCAGTGGGTGCTTCCCACGTAGTCTGCAACTAATTAATAATTGACCTAACTAACATCCCAATTAGATTCTCTAATCAGTAACACCATGCGATATATATAAATCAAAGCTTTTTCAAAACCCTTCATTGGAAGGCAAAGCAGCATATAGTCTTTCATTTTTGGGCAAGGCAGATAATTGCTGCACAAGAATCATGAACTCCATAGTTTCCTTGCTCCTTGTTCTTCTTGTTGTGCAGTTAAATCCATCTTCATGTGACCCAGAACATGATTACCGTAAAGAAGAAACACATAAGTCTTGGGAGGGAGCCACCACTCTAACACTTCCAAGTTTGTCAGACGACTTGCCGTTTGGAGAGTTTCTTTCCACTGGTTTCTACCGCAGGAGTTGTCCTGACCTTGAAGGCATTATCAATAGGAAGGTCAAGGAATGGCTTAAGCAGGATTTCAGCCTTGCTGCTAGCCTCATGAGGTTGCATTTCCATGACTGTGCCATCAGGGTAAGAATATTAACCATGTTATACTTGCGTGTACATGTGTATGTCGCACGTGATTAATAATAAGTAGTTAGAAATTGCTTCACAACCCAACTCTTTCTCAACTCGTTTAACTAATCACATAAAATGAGATCCATGATACTGCGATATTTCAACGATCCACTTTAGGTGACGAAGTTGTGAAAAGAGGAAAATAGTTTGCTCCATTGCTTAACAAACCAATTTCATATAGTAATATTGCATGCCTTATATTTCATTTGTGGTTTGCAATATATGTAGGGATGTGATGCCTCCATCTTATTATACCATGAGGGAAGTGAGAGGACAGCTGCGGCCAGCAAGACACTAAGAGGGTTTGAACTGATAGATGATATTAAAGCAGAGGTTGAGAAGAAGTGCCCAAAGACAGTATCTTGTGCAGACATTTTGACTGCAGCTGCCAGAGATGCTACTGTTCAAGCTGGAGGTCCATACTGGGCTGTCCCCTACGGGAGGAGAGATGGGAAAGTTTCAAATGCCAAGGAAACTGAAATGGTGCCAATGGGTCACGAAAACATCACTGCTTTGGTTGAGTTTTTCCAATCACAGGGCTTGAATGTACTTGACTTGGTCGTTCTCTCAGGTGAACCATCTAGTCCACATGCATCTCGCTCGCATATTATATCGTCACATAGTCAATTTGGACAACATATATTCAAACATGAATCAACTTAATTATAGGTCTAAATTGAGAGTGCGACAACATAACTAGTGTGTGACAACAAAAAAAGTTCCCTACAACTAGTCACTAGAACACAAATCTAACTGCTTAGTTGCAATAAATGGTTTTGATCTGCAGGGGCACACACCATAGGAAGGTCTTCATGTGGTTCTGTACAACACAGGCTCTATAACTTCAGTGGAACTGGCAAGCCTGATCCATCCCTTGATCCACAGTATTTGAACTACTTGGAAAGAAAATGCAGATGGGCATCGGACTATGTTGATCTTGATGCTGCAACTCCACATAAATTTGACATTGGATATTACACCAATCTGCAGAAGAAGATGGGACTTTTGTCCACAGACCAACTGTTGTATTCTGATCCAAGGACTTCACCTCTTATCAAGGCTTTTGCTTACCAGCCATCAGTCTTCTACCACCAGTTTGGAGTGTCCATGGCCAAATTAGGGAATGTTCAAGTCCTCACTGAGCAAAACGAAGGCGAAATTCGAACCAATTGCAATTTTGTCAACTCTTATTAAGTGACCTTTTAATTCTAATGACAAGCAGCCTCCAATCCTTACCTTGTTCTTTTTTTTTGCTTAACCATATGATATTTTGAAATTGTTGTTGTTTTTGAATGTTTATGTACCACCTTACAGGTTACAGCTAACAGAGCTGGCTTGATATGATATGGAATTTACTTGTTCACTCATGTTCAACCTTTCTTGCCTCTCTAAAAATTGAGTTACATATAGTTTTTGCACCCAAAGTTTCTCACCACAGAAAATGGGCCTATGAGAAAGGAAATCTTCTCTCTCAAGCCCCTTCTTCTCTTTTACTTTCCCTTCATCTATTAGCTGGGTAGTGGTGAAAGGTCACTGTTGTGAGAAACTTTATGGATCTGAAAATCATATAAGAAGGGCCTGATATTAATTGAAACACCATCGTGGACCTAAAATGATATATGAAAAGAATATTTTGAGACCTTTATCTGCCTCAAGCGTTAGCATCTGTGACTCATACTCTGTGGGCTCTATTTTGTCTTCTTGTCAAGGAACTATGGGTTTTTCCAAAGCGCGTCCTCACTGTGTCAAAAAGGTCAAACCAAGCGAACTGTCACTTTATCAGGCCTGCCCCAAAAAGAAAAAGAGCAAACTCTCTCTTTAAATATAATCTTACTTATTCACACTGTTATAAGACATCAAATATCTAAATAAAATTGCAAATGAGCTACTAGTGTAATGGTTTGGAGTAATTGTTCATTCAGGTAAGATCTTAGGTTCGAGTTCTAGTATCCGTGTAATGTGTGTGAATTTAATATATTATCGCCCCTCTTAATAGAAAATATCCTCCAAAAACAAAATATTATATATCTTCATAAAATTAATATGTTTCAATCATATTAACATCTAATTTTTGGAAGTTTATCAAAAAATTCATAAAATTGATTACCTGTTAATGAGTTTTTGTGAATTTAATACACAAGCTTACAATTTTTTTTAATTTAAAGGGAGTTGGTGGGTGGGGTGGTGGGGGGGGGTGTTTGTGTGTTGTGTTTTTTATATACTTGTTTAATGAATCATCCCCAACGACATGTAAAAGTAGTCCACAAACACCTTGCTTTCCCCTTTTTATTTTCAGACCTCTTTCTTTCTCTCTCTCTCATTTGAACTTTCATGATATAAACCCCTACAGGGTATTTCAAATCTTGTAGCGTCTCTTTTTCTTTTCCATCTTGAGCTATGGAGCAGCCTTAGTTTGCAAAGCCAAGCCTTCATTTTAGCACCTACCAACCTAGTTGTTGTTGCATGATTATCAACTAGAACTTGTTGAATGATTTGAATATTAAAAGAAACAAAATCATTTTGCATGGCTTGTAATGCAAAATCATCTCCTACCACTTTAGCAACCATCTTCTTCTTCCTCCTTATGATATTCCACATCTCCATGGCTAGACATCATAGCTTCCCAATCCCATATGCTACTTCTTCCTCTACCTCTAGATCACATGGAGTTGGAGCCATTAAGAAAAATGTCATGGAGCTTGGTACAAGAAGATCATCATCACATGGCGCCAGATATTCAAAGGCTGATGAATCTACAGGCGAATCAAGTCGAAGGAGAGGGCTAGGGTTTCGGGTTCGTCCAAGGAGGCAGCCATTCCCATGGCAAGAAAATATGTTCAATGCTCGTGCACATGAAGTTCCAAGTGGTCCAAATCCCATTTCAAATAGGTGAGGAGTATTGTGGAAGCTAGCAAAACAAAGTGATCGAAGTAGATATATGATCAAGAAAGGAAAAGAAAAAAAAAAACATATAGTCTCTGATTTTCTCCTTCTTTGTGGTTTGTGTTTTCTGCCATTTGATTTATATATAGTGCAGTAATATCACTACAGCTTAATTATATGTTATTTTTAATTTTTATTATTATAATTTTCTAGACAGAACCTTCAGACAATCATTTTGCAATTATAACCAGGATGTACATGATATTTAAGTAGTAATGTTCTTCATGGTCATCATTATGCTATTATTCATTTTTGTAGCTTGCTTCTCTCTTGCACCTAATATTTCTTTTTGGACGTATATAGGCAATGAATATGATCAATTAGATAATACTATTTTGCTCTTTTCCATTTTCAATTGTTAGATATATACAGTTGTTCTCTCATTCGGATGTCCGGATGTTATTACCGTGCCGACGCTATTATCCTTGATAAAAATAATTATTTTAATATTTGGAACAAATGTGGCATAGATTATTACATGAGCAGCTTAATTGCTTCAAGAATGGAAGTGGAAGTTCTAAATATGTTCTTATTGAAGGTTTTTTTTCTTCCTTTTTTTTAAGAGAGAAAAAACAAGCATGTTTCTAGTTAAGGTAGCTGATGGTGGACTTGCTTTTTTCATCAGTTGTCAAAAGAGAAAAAGTAATTGGATTTTGGGAATGTTTATGCGAGTGGGATTATTTGCCAGAGAGCACATAGCTATTTTTGTTCCCTTGGCTTTTGGATAAACAAAGAGTAGGGACATAATGATTCACAAATTGTTATCGTTTTTGAGGCTTTGAGGCAATAATTAAAGAGAAAATTGAAAGCCATTGTTTTGCGTGTAAAGTTAAACAGGCCTGCCATGGCATCCAAAGCAATGGTGAAGAAGGGTCTCTTTAGCATTTAATTTCCCTAAATAGCCCTTGTTCCTTTATTGGAACTTCATTCGCACCCTTTATCTGTGTCTCTCTCCCTTTTAAAAGCTGAAGCTGCCCTGCCTTGCACTGCACCAAACCATAAAAGGATGGTCTTCTTCCTCACGTGCCTCATACCAGTGTTTTTACCCTCTTCTTACTTCTTGGTCTTCTTCCTCACGTGCCTCATTTCAGTGGAATCTTATTGTTCAAATTTTTATGAAATTTGGTCATGTGGCGCATGTTTTATATGTAGCTTCACTCTCCATACTCTCTTTTTATATTTCAGGGCTAGTTTAGGTATTTCACATGTCGATTATTTGTTAGCTCACTGAGTTGCTTGCACAATGAGAGGGTGCAGTCTTAGATCATGAATGATGGATGATAAGAGATGAACAACGCAAGTGATGTCTCTTCTCATTTTGGCTCCTCCCTTTCAATTTAAATAAAGTTAGAAGTTAATCTATTGTACTGTGAAAATTGAGTAGATCTTCATCAATAATATATTAGAGGAAAGTGATATATGCACTGTATACTCCATCATCCTAAAAAATACCTCTCAGAAAGCATGTTTAAGTCAAGACAGAGACACGAAGATTTCCTAATTATATTCCCATCTCTTTATGAGAGGGAGAGAGAGAGAGAGAGAGAGATGGTGTTATTGTCTAGAGGAGGAGGGTTAGGTGGTTAGCTTTTGGCAATCAAAGCATCATTCTGTCTTCACTTTTGATTTTGAGTGAGTTTATCACTTTAAGAAACTTTTGTGCCAAAGACTCAAACAAGCCTAGATGTTCTGCCCGCCCTATGAAAAACTCTTGGTATAATAACCAAACAAACAAAATTATTAAAAAAAAAAAAAAAAAAAAAAAAAAAAAAAAAAAAAAAAAAAGAAAAAACACCAGTCATCCAATAAAGATTAAAGAGATCAAAAGAATGGCTTGTCTCCTTTGATCAAAGTTATCAAAGCGATCAAAGTCTTTTCATAGCTTGCTTTATCATAAGTGGCCCCAGCCAACCAAGGTCCTCTCCAGAGATAAAGAGTAGAACTATATACACATGACATGCATGCATGCATACTGGATATTTGCAGTTCATTATAGAATATCTTCAACTTTTATGTTCTGTTCTAACCCAAACAAATAAAAAAAATTCAGATGTATCATTTAAAACAATCACAAGTACCATCCATTCGCAGCACATGATTTAATTCTTTGGTTTTTGAAATTGACAAGTTAGAAAAATTAGGCAATGAGAAATTGAAGTAGTAATATTTTCACTTTACTGAATTTCACAAAATCAATGTACAAAGTACCATTTTGTTGTTACAAGGGAGGCCAAAGGGGGAGAGAGAGGATTTGAACTTTGGCATTGAACGAGGATAAATGCTCTCAACCACCGAAGCTACAAGCCCTCACATAAATACCATTTTCAGACTCACACTATGTACCAGCTTTCTATCTTTACAATGGAAACCTTAAAAAAATTGGCAAGCAGCTTCCGCTACTATTACCATCTAGGAAATTTTTCGGTGGTCTTCCTCAAGGCCAACAGTTTCGAAGTCTCAGTTGAAAAAGGTCAAAATCATAACTTGTACCTTGTTCATATCTCCTCACACCAGCATTGCCATGTGTTTCAGCTCAGAAATGCGTTCCTGTATGGTGAGCATTCAAATTGCTGCACTCAAGCATCAGTACAATAAGAAAGGCCAAGCTTTGCACATTTGTAAAAGCATTCTTGAGAACACTCTTGCACACCTCACACTTGCCAGTGCATGTAAAATAGTCCTTCACGCGATCCAATCCATGCCCCCAAACCATAAGTTTTGGCATCAAGGTATTCATAGCTTCGCCTTTCATCCTGCTCTCCGTTAAACCCTATGGAGGAGTAGAAAACTGAAGGTCAATAAAATGGAGAAAATGACAATAAGAATGAGAGCACAAGAGAAATAGAGGGTACGTTCAGCGTTCCGCCAGCACACAGTTGAGGGGACTGTTTTAGAGAATTTATCCTCAAAAAGCAGTTCACCAGACTTGATACTCCAAATTCGTAAATTGCAGTCCTCTCCACCTAAAAGAAATATATATAAGAGAAACTCAAAGGATAGAACTTGCCAAAATAAATGGCATACACAATAATGACATTCACCTGACATAAAAAATCTCTCAGATGGGTCAACTCCAAGCTGCATACGAGTATGGGAATTCACATGCCCCTCATAAGATTGTACAGCTCCTCTTTGGATTATCCGTTGGTCATAAAGCTTCACCTGCAAAAACAAGAAATAGTCAGAGTGACATTGACCAAAATCGTTGCATCAACCACAGCAATAATTACCAGATTTGAGATTTTTTTTACTTTTTTTGCTTTTCCTTAAGGATATATGTAATGAATTAGCTAGTACCTACTATCTAGACATTATCCCAGTTTTTTTCCTTTGAGAAAATTGGCTCTCTATAATTTTAGTTGATTGCCAGATATCTGTTGTGTTGAGAGGTACATGGGAATATGTCTATGAAGACCAGTACTATGTAAAAATTTCATATTCTTATGGATGCTTTTCAAGTGTTACATATGTAAAGACCAGTGCTGCGGATCATACAAACAAACACACTGAATAAGTTAGCATCTAAAAAAAGCTTGAAATAAACATTAACTGTTCCATCCATGGAGCTTGCCAAGAAGTACTGGTCATCAAACCGAAGCGATACCAAACTGGAGTATCAAAACAAACAGAGTGAGCACAAGATGAAAAACATTAAAGAACAAAATCATCTTATGAAATGATAAAGCCTACTAACCTTGCAATAGATGAAGGCATTTTAGTGCTATGAGAAGAATTCATATTTCTGGAAAGCTGCACAACCACAAAAAATTAAAAAAAGCTGGATAACTATTTGCAGTTTTAAATGTTACCCAGAAGAGCAAATATTCATTAAAAAACAATAAGCTGCTTGATGGGACAGACACATCCCTGATGGGCAAAGACATTAATAAAACAGCTCCACATTAAACTAAAATAATTCCGTTAGAAAAAATTTCCACCTGGAGGAAAAGAACAAGATGTTATGTCAAAGAAAAGAATTGAAAAAATTTTGAGTTACAGAAGCTCCTGCTATAGCTACACCTTTTTTTTTAATGCTAAACATACTTATGAAATTTAAAGCAATGATTTATGGAAATTGCTTGCGTTGTAAAATCATGGTATAACAATTCTTTCTGAAGATTTCTGAAGGAAAGAGAAAGAAAGAAAAAAAAAAAAAAAAAAAAAAAAAAAAAAAAAAAAGAAAAGTTTGCAGTTATGCCAACAATGAGCATTATACCTTCAACGATTGTTTACTAGATTTTCCAAGAGTGTTATCCAAAGGTGAGGGGCGCATTCTATGTCTAACTTGTCTTGCAGGAAATGCTTCCTGTTTCTCACGAACATCAACTGTTACAATTGCTCCATTTCTGAGTCCGCATAAAACAGCATTTCCCTACAATAATAAACAAAGATGAGTTCCAAAAACCATATAAAAGAAGTTACTACACAAAAAAGTTTAGATAGTCAAAACAAATCAGCAAACCTCTGGATACTTTAAAATATGAATCTTTCTATCCTTAACCATGCATATTTGCACAGCACCTCCAGAACGGGAACATTATTTTAAAAGCAGTGAGCCTATTTAACTTATCAAAACCATAAAGCATAGTGTTTAGTTAACAGTCTGAAATAATTAAGCTTTATAATCTGTGTCAATACGATAGGAAGGACCTTAGAGGGCAGTGGCAACATACCACATGGACCTGAAAATTTTCCCTCAATAACCTAGACATTAAGGTAAAATTTCTTAGAGTTTCCACAAACTTGACCAGAGTGTAGCATCTGATTCCTTGACCATTAGCTGACATTGCTACTAGAACTGGCTCATGAAAAGCCAATTGATTTCAACCAATTTTGAATTATTGCTTTGAACTGCAACTAAAAGCTAACTGGATGCATGTGCATCTCACTACTGTTTCACAGCAGACCAGCTGACTTCCAGCAACACATTTGCCAAATATGTAGATATCTTCTAAAAGTAGTAAAGATAGGGAAAAGTGGTATAGAATAGTTAGATACTTCTGAATTATCAAAGAAGAATAATAACTTACCAATAATTATTTATCCAAGAACAACACGAATACAATAATCCTAATATTAATTATTAATAGTAGAAACAAGACTAATAAATTACCGAGTGAACGAGTTGTTGTGCCAAAACATCACTTTTACTGCGTAACAGCCATGATGCCCTCCCAGTTTCCAAATCCACCAAAGCAGCTCCCAGGTTAGTTCCTATAACAAACAAAATAAATTTTCTTAACAATAGCATTTACACTTCTGAAAAACTGTTGCCCTCAAGCATATTATGCATACTAGCAGCATTAGCAACACCAAAGCAGGAAAGAAAGCAAATTACTCCAGTATAAGTTCAAAACAGCAAGGGGAACAGTTGATTATCGAAATGTCTTTATGTCACAATGATCAGAAATCAAATGCCAACATATATATATATATATATGTATAGAGAGAGAGAGAGAGAGAGAGAGAGAGAGAGAGAGAGAGAGAGATGTGTGCGCTGAATTTTTCGAACCAGAGTGTGCTAGTATTGAATTTTGGGTATCATATCCAAGAACTCTGTGTGTGTGCATGCACTAAATTTTTCAAGCCAGAGGATCATAGTGTATTAACCCGCAAATAAGAGAACATTAAAGCTACCATGAATCATGACTAACACAGTTTAAAATATAATGATATAAAAAGGAAATAGTACTTACCAATCACTGCACGACTCCCATCAGGTTCACAATCTGCAGTCCAAATAGTGCAGTTGAAAGTTGCAATCTCATAAATGTTTCGCCTTAAGACAAGCCTATTTGGATTAAAATTTAGTAGTTCAACAAGGTTAATAACCACAAGACTCCCACCAGCCCTCTCACATCCCAACGTTGATATTTTTTTTTTTAGTGCGTGTTAAGGCTGAAGGTAAAGAATTAGTTTTTTTCTTCAATAAGATACATACTGGAAACTTTTTTGGATAAGCTAAGAAGGTCTAGAAAGTATTGTAAGAGTTTTAAGTCCAACAAATACATGTGTGTGTGCACAAGCATCAAACTTGTATTCTATATTAAACAGTAAGAAGAAGAAGTCTGATAATGTATGAAAGGATACAACATATGCTGGGTGCGTGAACTTTCATCTTCTGTGCCAGGAGACTGCTTTCCAAACAATTTTATACGAGATATATTCGATGGCATTCGTGGTGTAGCTTGAGCTGGTCTCCATATGTGCCCAGGCACTTCACTACACTCTAGTTGACTTTCGTTCAACAGTGGCCAGACACGATCTGCCTTACATTTCATCCCGTACTCAAGACCCTGCCCAACTTTCCCAACTTCAAAAATACTGCAAGAGCATCATATTTCAGAGAGATTAGTAATAACTTATTTGGAAATAGAGATGCCAAGAACCATAGGATAAGAATTCCAAAAGACACGTGTAATACAAATAAACACCGATACTCATATCATAGTAACAAGCAGATTAAGACAGAAATTGAAACTATGTCATTGGAAAAAAAAACAAAAAACTAGAAATAAATATATAAACCACTCTAAAACATGATGCACATAAAGAGAATTTGAGATGGTGCTTTTCAAAACAGCACAAAGAAGAACTTAGAGTGCGTGGCATTTCCACACTATATGTACTACAAACAGTAGCATTGATCAATCTCACAGTCTAGGAGACATTAGTGCCATTAATCAGCAAGAGCACTGCAAGTAAGGAGCACGGATTTTGTGGGGTCAAAGTACTCAGCAGGGCCTCATCTCACAATGGAAAATTGTTGAAAGTATTTGTTGACAACCCCATGGTGGAATGAAATCACTTAGGACCACGTCAGAGCTAACAGAAAAGCTTAGTTATCAACAGAGACCAAATGTCACGGAAAAAGATGTTTGTAGTAGAGAATTATGTCAATGCTAACACCAATGCTAGTAATACGATAACATATATTGATAGTAACACTAGCATTAGTAAGCTAATAGGTAGAAAGGTGGAGAAGGAAAAGATTGTTGTCTGTGACAGCCATGTGGTGTTATGAATCCACTTGAATTATAAGACACTGGGTTTAGGGTTTAGGATTTAGCATTGTACACATGTTACTATTTTGGTGGATTCATATCCTCACAAAAGAAAAAAAATTCTCTAAAGAAGGGGCCAATTGAAGGAATGCTACAAGCTTTGGTTTGCAGCTTTTTAAGAAGTCTTTAAAGTTGTATCAGAGCCAGTCAAGTCAGCTCATTTCCCATATGTCCCTTAAAGACCGTGGTTATCACAACTGCTCCTTATGGTGAGGGAAAGGGCGCTGCCCTTCTCACTACCTGATAGCAAGTATTATGAGCAGGTAAATGCTTGTGTTCTGCATTACTAAGGGCCATCATTTATTCCTCTTTCAGTGAGGATGCCATGGCATAAATGAAAGGAGATTGTCATATATCTAGGTCCCACAACAGCCACTAGTTGGGGAGATCTAGGATACTTAAGTAAGACATCCAAATCCAAATTCCAACTGAAGCTAATACTTCCAAGCAAAACTGGGAGGGAAAGGAAAGGAGAGAAACTCTCTTAAACCTTTCCATCAAAGGAACCATTCCAGATTGACATGTGAACTGTCGTGTCAAAACTAGATATGTGAATCTCAAAAATCAACCAAAAAATGTTCAATGCTGTCACCCAACATACATGCTCAGACATGCTTAAATACCATATACAATAAGACACACTATGTTAATTCTTCAATACCTCAAACAACACGTATTAGAAAATCTTCTTAAATAAAGGCCCCAATCAACACCTTGTGTTTATCACATGATAAATGGATTGCAGGCTGTTTAGAGAAATAATGACATCTGACAATTTCCTACAGTTCTCTCCTATACAAAAGGTGGAGCGGTTTCTACTTTGTTGTGTTGTTTCATATGTCTCCAAAATGAAACAAAACCACTTCCTTCTTATTTTATTCTACAGTAGGAAAGTAGTAGAATTTATGTTTGTACATGCATGGTTCTTTTTTACTTCAATACATGAGTACCTGAATACATGTCTTAAAGCAACCCCCATTATGCAGTAGCCATAGCGCATTAATGCTATTTATTTAGAACTAAAAAACTAAATACTGCACAAGTTCTCATACTATTCTGACAGAACAGATCCATTTTCAAATTCTCGAAACCCTATACACAATCACTTATTCATGCTACCATACCTTATTCCAAAACTATTATCAATTTATCACAAATTTTAACATATCAAACATTATTAAAACCAGAAAATATGCATGCAAAATTACATCAGACTGCAACTTTATTCTACCTTAAAGAGCCATCAGCGCCACCTGCTAATACAAAGTCCGTATCAGTTAGTCCCTCTCCTGTCTGTACATCCATGCGGATCCGCTCCAAAGCACCATCACCTAATTGATTTGTTCCCTGATATTTCCAAACCTGCAATTCATAGAACACTGAGATAACAATAAAATTATAAATTTCCTGCAGAATATAAATTACAACCTGTGATATCAGATATGGGTCATAAACAATCAAGCAGAAAGTAAAACCCGAAAAAAAATTGCTAGAATCATAATGGGCTAAATTTGAACATAACTGGAAAACTGAACTTAAAGTCCTAGAATGAAGCCTTATAGTAAATCAACATACCACAGGATGGGATACTTGCGCCTTTTGGAATTCCTCATAAAAGTTACACCTTCCTTTACTGGAAGCGATGAGATTACCACATAACTCCCTGTCATGAAGCAGCTTAGAAGTTTTTACTCTGGTTCGCCTACATGAATTGCTCACCTATAACAAGATGAATCAGAACCAGCATTAAAGTCCTTTTGAAAATATAGTAACCAGCCTAACTAAAAGCATAAAAAATAAATAAATAAACCAAGAATAAGCAGCAGCTATAAATCTGGAGGGATTTAAGATGCAGATTAACAGGAAGAAACAGCTGCTGTAAATCTATGTGAATAATAAGTAATACCATACGAAAATACATACAACAGAAAGGCTTAGGGATTCACTAGTTTCTTTACAACACTGGACGCAAATCTATGATGAAAGTCATTAGTATGTTAACCCAAGGCCAAAGAAAAAGTTGCACTACGAGTACCCGATCACCATGAGATTTTACGCTGCTTACCACTCCATACATTAAAAAGATAACAACTTTAATGTGTAACACAGAAAATTCTCAGCATGCCAAATTTTTTCAAGGAATGAGATTAGCTCGATTCTAATGATCAATTGTCAGGAAAATCCCGTCAGTGTGACATGAAAAACTCACAATAAGAAACTAAAGAACATCACCAGAGCAAGTGGAACACAACATTTTACTCCCAATCCACCCCCAAACCGAAAAAGAAGTTGCAGTAAAATACAAATTCAACCAGAACCCATATACCATAGAAACAATTCTGAGCTCATTTAAGCTGAGAAGCATAAAAAAAAATAACAAAGATACAAACTTTAAAATAGGCAAAACTCCGGGAAAATATACAAAATTTGGGTTCAAATGCAGAACAACTAGTGTACCTGGGCCGGTGTTTGAGCGCTGGAAGAAGAAGCAGCAGTAGTCACACGACGGGAGCCGGGTATTGGACCTTTGGTGGGGAAGTACCTGTTCTTTTCCGCATCATAGTAAAACCCAGGAAGTTCTGCACCCGAATTCATATTGTTATCAGCAGTGTGAAAAGAACCCACAAAAATTAAACCTACAAAAGTTGAAGGGATGATATATATACCTCCTGCCATAGCTTTTGCACAGACAGAGAGAGAAACGTTGAAAAACCTGTGTGTTTGTGTTGTTTAGTGCAGAGAAGAAGGGAGCAGAAGTAAGACTGTTGAAACGGTGGAGGGATTCATGCAAAACGGTCACGAGTCCCGGCCATAATCTGCCAGTTGGTGCCCAGCGCTGAGGTGGCGGAAGCAGAGAGATGTACGTTGAGCCCGGATTGCCCTGAAAATCTTAGGGCTGCATTGTAATAGGTTTTGGGCCTTCTGTCCAACCTAGGTTTTTTTTCTGACATGGTTGGGCTGCGACCACGTATTGTTGGTTTAGGTCCACCCAAATCCAAATGGGTCGGATCTGTCAACCAGCCCATTGTGTTATCCAAATTCAAATTATGATGATTACTAGATGATATTTTAGTTTTTGGTTTTACATGTTCGTGTTCATGAAATTTGTACTTCATCGAAAGTGTACTTGTTGAGATTAATCTAGTAAAACTTGTGTATAAACTTTTGGATGGAACAAGTGAGAGGATAAATGTACAGAACATTTACATTATCTTGACGTGAAAAGATAATTAGTAAGTGCAAAGCCATGATTTTTATAGAAGTGGACTATAATTGTTTTTCATTTAAGAAGTTGTTGTGAACGGGGTCTAATCCAATGATTAAGGGCCTTGACTTTTGGTGGAGAGGACTAATTTTTTCTTAAATGAGGTGGACTAATTTCCACTAAATAGGTGAACTTCCTAAAATTTAGCACTAACGTTATGTTTTTCTAAATATTTGCACGGGACTGGAGCCCACCCTAGAATGAAAGAGTGACTATGTCCTTAGTTGCATTGTCATGATAATTGATCAAACACGAATACACTCTAGAAAAGGTGTTGGTATAGAAAGTGACCATGTTATTAGTTGCATTGTCATGATAAACGATCACGAATACACTCTAGAAAAGGTTTTTAGCCACGAAACATGTGGCAAGGAAAATGGCTTAGTAACCCAAAATGATCACAACGGCAAACTCCATACCACAAACATAATATGATAATAGTGACGATTGTTGAATTGGCAGCGAGAAGCCAAAAGATTGGCACACATTTGGTACATAATTGCACAACGACTTCTTCTAAAAGGGAAAAAGAAAAATAAAAGAAAGAAGGATAAAATGATATTCTAAGCTCCTAAATTAAAATTTGACAATTGTTATGTGTGTCAAAATCACTATGTCACTCCTTTGAAATTAATATTTGCAGAGGAGAGTCTCAAAATTACAAAAGCAAAAGCAAATGTTAAAAGCCCCCCAACCCCAAAAGGAAAGTGCTGAAGTTGCTAACCATTCCATTGAAGTTGATCCATCATTGGACTCAGATGGTAATTATACAATCCATAAGGCAATTGTGTAGACTCCACAAAATCAAAGTCAGAGTTAGAGCTCCCAAATGAAGCATCCATATTGGTCTGCTCATCAATCAACATATTGGCCTTTTCAATTCCCACTTCACAAGCCTTCTCCTCCTGCGGTTGCATAAACATTTCTTCATCAGGTTTTGTGGGTTCAAAGTTACCAGTGCCCCATTTGCAATTCTCATTTACAATCTCAAGCTCTGATAGTGGATATGAGTGACAAGAGGAGGTTGGGACACTAGCTCCAACTGAGGGTTGATTCATGGCCTCCATGAAAGCATTTGAATTAAGTTTTTCTTGCAGAGTCCAAACGGTATTATGGTTTCGGTATTCGTGGACAGATGATAGGGTTGAGCTTCCGTGCAATGAGTGGTCAGGGTTGATATGATTAGTATCAGGAGAGGAGGAAATAGAAGATAATGCTTGAAAATGTGCTTTCAATATGTCTATGGAAGTGTCTGAGACATGTGAATTTACAGGGAAAAAATAAGAGGGTTTAGGCAGAGTAGGATAAAATGAGCATTCACTAATGTTGTTGTTGGTGCTATGGTTAGTTTTGGAAGAAGGGAGAAGATTGTGTGTGTTGGGATCTAAACCTTGTGCAATGAGCTTCTTCTTGATGCATGAGTTCCAGAAATTCTTGACTTCATTATCTGTTCTACCAGGCAAATGCTTGGCTATCTGAGCCCATTTGTTGCCCAAAATCCTATGAACATCTATGATGGTTCTCTCTTCTTGCTCAGAAAATGAACCCCTCTTGAGATCTGGTCTCAAATAGTTTATCCACCTTAATCTGCAACTCTTTCCACACCTCTGCAAACCTGCAATATTACAGAGGAAATTAAAACCATACAAAGAACAAGCTCACGAAACGACATCTTTGAAATTAAGGGAGAGATTTATATAAATTTATAAGAAAGAATCAATTGAGAAAGGGATTACCAGCTAGTTTTGGGATAGAGCTCCATGAACCATGGCCATAGGTGTTTATGTGATTGATTAGCATTTCATCTTCTTCAGGGGACCATAGTCCTCTCTTGACTTTCTGTTTGCTGCAACATTTATGGCCCATATCCTTAGCTATATTGATCCCTCCAAGTTCCAACCCTTTCTATAGTATAGTGCACTTGTAATTATCTTCTAGTCTGGACGTGGCTAGTTTTCCTTATATATGTTTCTTGAAATCTCCAATTTTAGAAAAAAAAGATGCATATCTGCTTTAATAAAGTATATATGTTTCATTCAATTTGGCTTTATACGTATGATGCAGATGGGTGGAAAGAGAGAGGAGAACCTTTAATTAACTTTGGGTTTACTCATTTGGCTTCCTAGCCTGTCTCATCAACTATGGCTCCCTCAACTCATTACCACAATTTTCTTTGGTTACATTTTGAATCTTACTTGAGTATGAGTTAGTGTCTAATGCACAAAGCATGATGATTCTCAACGTAAGATCATCCTTCAATTACTGTTTGATTTGAGGATTAATTCATATTATATGGATCATATTTAGTATATACTTGTGTAACATAGAGCTTCGGTTGAGCGATCTCTCTCAGATAAGCTTATTTGAGGGATACCCTTGTAGTGTTCGCCACACATTGTATTTCAATTATCTAAATCGTCTAGTTTTTAGATATTTCATAAAAGATCATCTCTGCAAAAAATTCACTTTAATCCGAAAAAATCTGACCACTCAATTCGATTGTTGTTATTATAGTCTTTTCTTAAAGCACCGTATTCATCTATTTTGTTGGTCCCAACTAGATCCCTTAATGATTTTCAATTTACATAATTTTTGGCAAGGATGATCTATGAACGAAGACTTAAAAATTAAATAATTTTGGATCATTGATAAAAAAATTCATAGAGGACCCTAAAGGATATCCTCAAATAAAATTATTTGAAGAATCCTCAATATAATATAAGGGGAATATAACATATGTAAACACTAGGTATATATATGCATGAGAAGCTTAGTTAATCATATGTATAGTAAGCATAAACTGCTGGTTTAGCAACAGTGCATAATGTAAGTAACAATTAGTTTACCCTAAGTATAATTAAAAGTTGATTTTGATCTTTTTGTTTTACTTAATAATTAAATTCTCTCTCTCTCTCTCTCTCTCTCTCTCTCTCTAATGATGTGATGTGTTACATATCCTTAGCAAATGCACATTTAAATATAAAAATCATATATCTAAGAGGAAAATATTTGGGTGTGATTGGGTGATGTTATTAATTTACTTGTCACAACATGAGCAGTTGACGATTTACATTTAAAAAAATATTATCAATAAATATAATACTTATTATATCATGAGTGGGGTACTACTATACATCATGTAACAGTGTGACGGACACATCAAAAAATTCATATACAGTTGATTCATATATCGAGGATGAATGATAATGTCCATATGCGGGAAGGCCGAAGAGGGAAGGCCTAATGATTTAAAGGTAACCCCATCATTTGTTGGACATAATTTCTACATTTGTATGTTTGATGCCAGTTATATTCAGAATAGGCGGCATATCTTTTCTTCACTCAACCGTTGCTTGAGGTTGTCAATCATATTTTCTTGGTGTCAACGAAGAAGATGGTGATTGGATATCCTTGCTTTCATGATTTTCTTCCCTGCCCCTTGTTGCATTTCCTTATTCATCTGTCTTAGTTAATTCATTTTTTTCCTCATAGATTAATATTTCTGAGGAGAAAATCACGTGGAAAAGCAAAGCAGACAAATGAGAGGAGAGAAAGCACACACATTCTCCATATCGAATGAAACCAACTTGTTTATCTTTCCACCATTCCCACCTTTTACGTACAATTGTTAAAATTGTCTCTCCTGGCCCCACTGTGAACATCATTGTTGATGGTCTGTTAGTTATTTTCTCGCATTAAAGATAAAAACATCATTGATGCACTGAGAGAACAGTTATAATTTTTTCTCGTTTTCTTCACAAAGTCCCTTTGTCTTTTTCTTTTGTTTTGGTCGAAAAGTCCATTTTTCTTGTGGAGCATGAGGTAAAATTTGCGTGCATTCTTTACATACGATTTTTTGGTGTTTATCAGATGCAATGCAAGTCCGAATTTATAGCTTGCCCTGTTCAAGTGATACACCAGGTTATAGCTCCATATGCAGAATAAGATGGTGCTAAGAAGGCGTTTGGTTTGCGGGAAAAAAAGGGGTTTGGGAATGGTAAATTATTTCCTTTTTCATGTTTGATAAGTCTAGATTGAAAAATGAGGGGGGAAAATGCGTCCCTCAATCCAGCTTGGGTTTCATTTTCCTTTCTCATTAAAAATGATTGTCTATTCCCAAGCCTCTTTTTCTCACGAACCAAACGCCTTAGATCATCTACAATCATGCTTACTATTTTTGTTGTTTCAATTTAGCTAAAAACATATAAAAGTTATTTTAAGAGCTTTCTAAAAAATTTAAACTCCAATCATACTCTCTAGTTTAGCGAGTCATAAATGTTATTACTCTTTTTTAATTGGTCTACCTGTAGTAAAAAATAATATAAAAAATAGTTAACATTAATTAAAGATTTGATATACTCATTAAATAAAACAGCATTAAATTATAACGAGCCACTAGGAGTCATTTCTC